ACACACACACACACACACACACATACACACAGCCACCCACCTTCCTGTGCACACAGGCTGAGCAGCTTGAACAGTTGACCTTGAACTTTGGCATTGAGCTCGATGATCTCGCAGCAGCGGGCCGTGTTCTGGTCACATGTGTTCACCTGAGGGGAAGACACGCAAACCAAATTTTTAAATTTTCATTTTTTTAATTGAAATATAGGTGGTTTTTTGTTTTAGTAAGTGCTTTACGGCACATGCAACACAAAAAGGTCATGTAAGTGCCGAAGATTAGAGGTGTTACAAGAGAGTAACAAACTCAAAAAAGGAGGGGAGATAAATAAAGACAATAGAATCTAGATGTTTGATAGGAAAGAATAAGCAGACCACACCAGAGCACCTGCCAACCACCCACAATGCAGGTGTTTTTTACACCCCTATTGCCCCAACAATACAGTACTATGGACACTTGCAACGACACGAGACCATTGTCAAAGAGGAGCTTGAAGGAAAGATGTGATGCAGGACGAGAGCCAGAGGAAGGCAAAGAATAACATGGATGGACAACATAAGAACATGGACTGGCCTGGATATGGCAGAATGTGCAACGGCAGCTCGCGGCCGTGAAGGATGGAGGGTCATTACACGTCAACCTCTGAGTCAGAGATGACACCTCCAGGTATTCAGGTATTCAGGTATTAATAAAACTTGAATCACTTAGGAGGCAGGCTTGCAACCCTACCTGTTAGGGCTAAGTCAGGCTGAGACATAACAGAAGAAAGATCGAGATACTTGAAAAATATCTCAACCACTTGGGAATCGAATTCGGGTCTCCAGCATGCAACAGAGATGCGGCTATATAATAGCTACAACACAGACGCTGGTACACACAAATAGACACATAAACAATAAGTGATCAACTTGTGCACAGACAAACGTTCAGACAAAAAGAGGGAAATTGATGATATAGAAGAGGAGGAGCAGAAGGATGAAAACAAAGAAGGGGGAGGGAGAGGGAGAGTAAGAGAGAGAGAGAAAGAGAGAGAGAGAGAGAGAGAGAGAGAGAGAGAGAGAGAGAGAGAA